TTTTTGGACCAACTTCCATTGCTTCTCCGCTGGCATCAGACCTCCATGGCTACCACACAATCTTTAGACCAACTCTCGTCCCTTCGAGTTCATGCCCAGTATGAAACAGAGAACTTCATTGAAGAATTTAATGATTTCAAGAATAAAGATTCTGCATACTGGAATGACTTGGATATAGACGAATTGGAACAAGGATTGAGAGAAACAGCATTCGAAATAAAGGCTGAAGAGCTCTTTTTCGAAGTGAGAGCACATCAACTCATGCAGCCAATGTTAGAAGAAATAGAGGATAGAATAAAGAAAGAACAGAAATTCATTTATCATAGTTGGACTAAATTCCATGATCTTGTTATTTATTCCATTCCCTATTTTTATGAGCTTGAGATTGTATCCAAATAGGGCCATTCGATGTAATTTCTTTTGTTTTAATACCACCAAGACTTTTTCTTTGTTTGGTATGGTTTAATCTTGTCCCCATTTGTCTTTAAAGTAAATTCAGGGCTTTGAACTGAACAATCTTATCCTTCGAATTTGGACTCAATCGTTTTAAATGAAACACTAAAAGAACCAACAATGAACCTTTCCAATTTATGGAATATAGTTAACAATTTTTGCTGATTTTCATTTAGAATTGGTGCTTCGAATTTAACAATTTTACCCCTTAAAGCTTGTTTTGATCATAACCAACATATGGTCATGGTTAGTATGATCAACCATTTTAAATTGACCATTTTTGCTTCGAAGAACAGTCCATGCTATATTTAGTCTAGAAAGAGAATCTTTCTTAAATAAATATATAAACCAATTAATGGTTTTGATGTTTCGAACAACAATTCCCATCCTTAAGGGATCTCAAGTTTTGCTTCGAAGGACATTACTTTCATTGAGAAACCTAAAACTGGTCTTTACTCCCTTCGAGGTAAACGAATACTTGAGCATTCTTACATCCATAGGTATGAAATATACTTTGAAGCTGGCTTCTTAGTTTCGAAGCCGTTTATTATTTGACTTTTGGCGCCAAAATCTGATTTCGAAGCCAAATACTATACTTCGAAGCTAGCTTCAACATCTAGGATGTGTTTTTCCTTCCAAAAGTATCAATATTGAAGGACACTCTTCGTATTTGTACTTTTATTACTTAACAAATCGCGCGATACATCTTCCAGACATAAAAGCTTTTAAAACCCTTTTATTTCGTGCTCTGAAATCACTTGCTCGCTCAATACAGAAACCCTTTATCTCTACTTCTCTCTATTTTCTTTCCCAGCTTCGTCTTTTGAGGAAGAGTTCGATCAATGGCTTCTTCTTTATTGAAAGTACCTGTCGTAGAACGTGCGAGCCCGTCTGTAGTCCTGAATAGGATCATTGATGCATAATGTGAAAAGTACAAGGCTGGGGAGAAAAGTGCCATCGACGGACGCATCTTCATCCTTCGTCATCATGAGCAACAAGACTATGTACTTGGGACTATATTCAAGGAGATTCTTGCTGAGCTTCCAGCTCTATATCCTTGTCTAGAAGACCATTGTCTCCGTTACGAGGGTGGCCTTGACTGGAGGAACTGGAGGACGAATCGGCCCCACCGATGCTGGCCTACCGTGAGACCGGAATGGCAAGAATGGTATGATCGGGTTGTCCCTGATAGGACTCTGGACCTTCAAGAACTTTGCCTTCTCGATACCCTCCGATTATCCAGGTCAACTATCTCAGAGGACCCCTTCTTAATTCCTCTGCTGCCCTGTGCTTTTGGAATCCTGTTTTTAATTTTTTCCAATTCAGATGTGGGATGATGGCCCATACTGTTCTTGACATTTTCCATCTATTAAGATTATCTCCCATTGGAACCCCCATTGGACTAGATTATCCTGACCTAGCAGTCCATTTTTCCATCCCCTCTCTTAACTCATCCTATAGTGACTTTGTCAAGGTTGAGAATAGAAGAGAGGGTCCTGTGACCGATAGGGAATTCTTTTCTTTCTTACTATATTGGCTTTGCAAATTCCTTTTCTGCACCTTCTCTCAAAGAATCATGCCTGAATTTGCCCCTCTTGCCAAATCCCTTGTTTTATAGAAGAGGGTGGCTTTAGCGCCATACGTTCTGGGTCACGTATATAGAGCTTGTTCTCTTTTCTGTGAGAAACCCTTAGATGCCAATCAAGGGAGGCCATTTTGGATTCTTCAGCTTTGGCTTTTTGCTTATTTCACTAAGTTACAATCCAAATGCCTTAAATTTTTTGGGCCAAACCCTCCTACTCATGGCATGAGGCTAGCCAATGCTTCCCTTTATCCTTCTACTTTTGCTTTCTACTTCTCTTTCTTTCACCGACTTCCAACTTCTCCTCTTTCCTATTGCTTTCGTCCCTTCGAACCCATGACCATTGGCCCATCTTGGTTGAAGAATTTCCTGAGTGATAGGCTCTCTGCTTCACCGGCTCACAAAGACATATGGGCCTCTATTTTAATCCCTAGAGAATTATTCATTGGGACCATGAACCCCAGAGCTTACAAATGCATTGTTGAGCCCTACTATCCTGCTCAATTTGTTAGACAATTTGGCTTCTCACAAGGGGTCCCAATACCTCTCTGCAGTAACACCAATCTAAGTCTTACCACCAGGGATTTGAAAGTTCGTCGGTCCAGACTAGAAGAGGCAACTTCTAAGTTTATACAGGACTTGATCGATTTTGAGTATACTCCTTTTCTTCCCTAAGGTAACATGTTGAAGAGGTACCACAACTGGTGGGTGTCCAATATAGAAGTATATCTGGCCATATCTCCTCAAGACTTACTGATGGTGTTGGATGTGCCCAAGCCCAAAGGAGCTGGAGTTGCTATTCCTTCCATTATCCTTACCACTTCAGTTCCTGTGCCTGCTACCACACAGTCTGCTCCTGTTGCCTCGACGACTCCTAGAGTTACTCGGGCCGTCTCGAAGAAAGGTATATACCCTTGTCTCTTCTCCTTTTGCCTTCGTTATAATGCTTTTAGCCTTATCTTTAGTTCTTCTTTTGTGAAGGTGGTGCGGGTGCCTCACAGGGAGATTCTCCTCAGAAGACCCAAGCTCTAAATCTTCTCAAAAGCAAATGGCAACAAACACTACAACAAAATGGTACTTTAATGACAAAATCACTTCGTCTCCAATAGTGAAATTTTCGTCACCAAATTGATCTGTGACGAAATAATTTCATCACCACGTTCGTTATCAATTCGTCGTCACTAAAAGTACCTGATGACGAAAATTTATTTTGTCACCTATTATTGGTATTTGGTGACGAAATATTTCGTCACTAAATGTTAAATATTTTGTCACCTATAATGTCCATTTTGTTACTAGAATTAAATAAACTTCTATTATATTTGTTTTGGGTGACAAAATATTTCATCATTAAAAATAGCGATAAAATTTTTAGTGACGGAAATATCGTCACCAAAAGATGGAAAAAAAAGACCCTTCAGTGATGAAAACTTTTGTCAACAAATATTTTAATTTAGTGATGAAATAATGAATGTGTAACAAAATTATTTGTTGGGTTTAGAAAGTTTTAGTGTCAATTTTTTTTCATCGCCAATAATAAATAAATTTTAAAAATTGAGGGAAGGGTAATATTTGCAATTTATATATTTTTTTCAATAAACAATACCTGTACATTTTAATAATCTATTAAATAAAATATCTAATACAAATCAATATAAAATTAACCTGTTCATTATCATAAAACAACCCAAGCAAAATACATGTCTCATAGTATCAAGAAATTAATATATAACATCCAAACTATAACATCTATTCTAGTAAAATCAAAAACTACAACACAATCAAAATAACTTGTGCATTTTAATAACCTGCTGAATATAATATCCATTACAAATTATTACAAAAACCTGTTCATTTGGTAACATCAACAAAAACCTGTTCATTTTAATCTATTTAATAAAATATCAACAAAAGATAAGATCCATCACAATATAATCATAACCCACAACAACATAGTCAAAATACATGTTTGGTAATAACAACAAAAAGTACAACTACATTGTGATGGATTTGTCTGGTAATATCAAAAAAAAACTCTTGCTATGCAGGTTACCAAATTCGTTCATCTCCAATCTTCCATTAAAAAAGAAAAAATAAAAAAAAAACAACAACAAAAGGTTAAGGTAACCATTCACTAAATATGTTAATATGCAACCTAGAAGAGAAAAAATAAAAATTTCAAAGTAAATTTTAAACCAAATTTTACCGTGCTTGTTCCGTAAATTTTTACAACTTACATTAATTCCTCCCAAGGTGTTCACGATATTTCTTGGCCTTTTAACGACTATTTCAAGATTTTACTCCCTAACGGCCTATTTTCAAGCCTAAATGTTTTCCAACCGAGAGTCCTATGATTGTTCTGTAAGTTTTCACAACTTATGTTGATCCCTCCCAAAGTGTTCATGATAATTTCTGATAATCTCAAGGTGCTTGTGATGTTTTTCGGGCCGTTAGATGAATATTTCACTATATTTTCCCGAGACCTTGTGCCTAAATGTCAAAAGTAATTTTTTATTCTACCCTAGTTGAAGAAGAAATGTTCTACTAAATTAACATATAAACATAAGTTAGTGATTGTTCCTGCACGATTGAAACACCAATAAAAACAACAAAACTTAACATTAGTAAGAAGAAAATTAATTTTTGACAATTAACATAAAACATTATACCATGAATTCTTTACTATTCCACTTCTTGTCAATTAGAGATGTCCATTGATTAAGAATAACCTAAATTTTGTCAAAGACTGAAATTATCAAATCTGTATACTATTTCCAGTGAATTTGGAACAGGCTCAAGCACGTATCCCATTTATGCCATGTCATGCAGGTAAAATAGCATAGAAACAAAACAAAGCATCAAAGCATGTTAGAGCTATGACATTTCAGCATGAAATCTTGATCTGCTCAAACTAGTTGGTAGCATATCAAATATAATAAAGAAGCGATCTATATTTCTCCGTCACCATTGGACACATCATTTAAAAAAAAAAGAAAAAAAAAAGGGGGTCAAAAGTTCCTTCCACAGTAAAACTCGAAATGACAGTTACCTGACTCCAGCTACCAGGCGCTGCACATAGATCCACCACATGCTTCACTCCTGCAAATAATATTTGTATCAACCAAACAGAAAAAGGTGAGAAGGTTTATGGAATCATAACCAAAAAATGGAACCACAGATGAATAGATAACAAACAAAAAAAAAAATTGAAAATAAGTTTCCATGGTTTCCTATTGGTGATAAATACAAAATTAAAGCCTACATTTTGCACTAAGTGAAAATATTTTGCTATTATCCTTAATAAAATATTCTCTTGGAAGAAAAGGAAGACATTATTTATCATTTTGAGAAACTACTTTTAACTTAATAAAGCATAATCAGTCCCCGTTTGTAGTAAAATTGCACCAGGGAATTCCTTCATAATGTAAAACAATTGGAGAAAAAAAAGAACGGACAATGTTTGATCCAGCTAATAAAAAGAGCCCAGTCCCTAATAATTTAATACCCCGCCATATTAAGGATGGAAATAAATCAACATTAGTAAGATTAGTGTAGTACCTTCAAATATATTGAATTCTTCATCAATTTGAAGGAGCTTGAAGGCACTTCGAGCACGCCAACCCTCTTCTTTTGCTTTTCGGTAGTAGATATCCTATGAACAAATCCACCCATTATTGGAAGTAGAACATCAGACAACCCCAGAAATGGTAAAAAATAAATTCAAACATAAACAAACAAACTCACCCTCTTATCCCTTGATGCTTTGCCCATGTTGAAAATACCTAATTGTCTCGAGGTAGTAAACCTAAACTATAAGACCAATATTTGTACCAAAAAATAACAAAAGGGCGGAACACAATGCTGTGACAAAGAAAGCGCAATTCTTCACTTCCTTTGGATCAATCACAGTTTGTGAAGGAATAATGAGAGAACGGGCCACAAAAACTGAAGAATTTAGATTTCCCAATCAGAAAGATGTTTAGCAAGAAAATGACGTAAAGAATAAAGTATGTTATCCTCCTTTCCTCTCTTTCAAACATGAGATATTTTCTCTCTCTCTCTCTCTCTCTCTCTCTCTCACACACACACACACACACACACACACATACACACACACAAAAATAAAATTGAAGAATTTAGATTCCCCAATCAGAAAGATGTTTAGCAAGAAAATGATGTAAAACAGAAAGTATGTTACAAAAACTGAAGAATTTAGATTTCCCAATCAGAAAGATGTTTAGCAAGAAAATGATGTAAAGAAGAAAGCATGTTATTCTCATTTCCTATCTTTAAAACATGAGAAATTGAAAATCCACATGCTAGCAATAAATAACACAAAAAATGTTCTAATTGTTCATTAATTTATAATTCCAAATTTTACAGTCTACTAAAACTAATTTCTTACCTTCATATGCATAATAGTGTTTAAGTTTTTCAAGAAATAATTTCATTTTCACAATTCAACTCATGCATCACATGGGTTTGCTGTTAGACATAAACTATAACAGAAAAACTCCGCTTCCAACAAATTATGGTAAAATCCAAAGTGAAAATATGCTTCTTTTCGCCCAGGTGAAAGCTACCTAAGGTGAGAGCTACAACAGTTGTAGAAGTGTGATGGTATGTTACAGTTGAAAGAATTACAAGACTTGATCTCAAGAGTTGCATCTAGGTCTTTTGGCATATCAGTCAGGTTCATAAAACACACATTAAAAAATATTTATCCCCCATTTTATTCTATTTTTCCCCATAAACTCGAACACCCATGTGAATATTCTCTCACATTAGCAACCCTTATTAACAAGAGTTACACGACTCATATTGAATCAATTTCATATTTTCCATTAACAATCAATGAAAAATCCTAATATGACAATATTTTGAGAACCCAACTTCTAATCAGTCTTTCCATCAAACACCTTGAGTGCATTTCGAAAACCTACCTCATCCACCTAACCAAACGAAGATAGAGGAAGCATGAAACAGAAATTTTGCCAAGGAAAGACAATAAAGGTGAAAAACAAAAAAACACATAAAAAAAAGAACTTATAGTCCTATGAAAGAATAAAATCAAGTTTCCATGAACAAAGACAAGTCCTAATATGATAATATTTTGAGAACCCAATTTCTGATCGGTCTTTTCTACCTCATTAACTTAACCAAACGAAGATTGAGGAAGCATAAAACAGAAATTTATGTTAAGAAACGACAATACAACTACAGAATAGTCCTATGTGACAGACAACAATAAAAAATTAAAAAAAAAAAACAAATTTCCATGAACAAGGGCACCAAGAGCAAAAACAACAATCCACAAAAAATTCAAATAAGGCAGAACCAGTTTAAGAGACTTGGTAAATTGACATTATTAAGTCCTATTTAAACATTCATAACAAGCATCCAAGTTAAACACTAAACCCCAAATTGAAAAGCCCCAAATTTTGAAATTGAAAAACCCTAAGCCCTAATTTTCAAATTGAAAAGCCTCAAATCAAAACTCAAAACCCTAGTATCTAAACATGCACCTGAAATTGGATGGTGGGAGGGAGAGGTGCGAGAGCTCCGGTCGGAGGGAGAGGTGAGACGGCTCCATTTGCTTCGTTCGCGGGTCTTCGTCGACCGGAAGGAGAAGCGAAGACGAACCAGGGTGCGAAGGAGGTAGCTCTGAAGGACCGCTCGAGCAACGCAATGGCCGTCACGAGCGAAGCAATGGCTGTTGCTCCAAAGGACTGCTCTTCCCTCCGTCTCTCTTCATGGTCTCCTTTCCCTCCATCTCTTCTTCTTCGTCGTCTTCTCTCTCTCTCTCTCTCTCTCTCTCTCTCGAACACATCTCCCTATTAGTCTTTCTCTATTTTTCCCTTTTTCTTTTTTTTGGAACCAGGGAGTAGAAATTTAGACAAAATTTTATGAGGAAATTTTAATTGTGGTAAAATTTTGACGGGCTTGTTTCAAATGTTGAGAAGAAATTTGAGACAAAATTTGGTAGTAAAAATTGGTTTTAATTTTTATTTTTTTAAGTTTTATTATTTATGTTTGTAATTTTACCTTTATTAAGGTTTAATTAATATTTTGAATGAAAATAACTAAATTTAAGAAAGGGATTTTTATTGATAAGTCCAATTTAGAAGTGTTTTAACCCAAGAAGTCCATGAAGGAATTTTTTAACCCATTTAGTCCCATGTATGTATAGTTTTATTCCATAAAGTCCATTTTCTTGATTTACACTATTTTCTTGGACACTTATGTCCTTATATTTAATTTTGATACACTTATAAATATTTTTTCAACGATTAGCAATTTAATGATGTGAACATTCATATTTTAAAATTCACATTTGTAGGAATGTAAATTGGCCCGTGGGCGGCCCGAAACCCGCTCGCAAGCCAGGGCGGGCCCGGATTCACATTGACATGTTAAAATTCACATTAATAGGAGTGTAAAATTGGCCCCCGTCCCGTGGCGGCGCGAAACCCGCCCGTGGCCCATGGGTGGCCCAGGGCTGGCCCGGTCCGGCCCGTTGACAATGTGAATATTCACATTGACATGTTAACATTCACATTGATAAGAGTATAAAATTGGGTCGCGGCCCATGGGCGGCAAAAAGCCCGCCGGCAGCCCGGGGCGAGCCCGGCCCGGCCCATTGACAATGTGAATATTCACATTGACATGTTAACATTCACATTAATAGGAGTGTAAAATTGGCCCCCGTCCCGTGGCGGCGCGAAACCTGCCCGTGGCCCATGGGCGGCCTGGGGCGGGCTCGGTCCGGCCCGTTGACAATGTGAATATTCATATTGACATGTTAACATTCACATTGATAAGAGTATAAAATTGGCCCGCGACCCATGGAGAGCCAAAAGCCCGCCCGCGGCCCGGGCCGGGCCCAGCTCGGCCCGTTAACAATGTGAATATTCACATTGACATGTTAACATTCACATTGATAAGAGTGTAAAATTGGCCCGTAGCCCGTGGGCGGCCTGAAGCCCAACCGTAGCCCGAGGCGGGCTTGGCCCGACCCGTGACAATGTGAATATTCACATTGACATGTTAACATGCACATTGATAGGAGTGTAAAATTAGCCCGCGCCCCGTAGCTGCCCGAAACCCGTCCACGGCCCGTGGGCGGCCCAGGGCGAGCCCGGCCGGCCTGTTGATAATGTGAATATTCCCATTGACATGTTAACATTCACATTGATAAAAGTGTACAATTGGCCCGTGACCCGTGGGCAGCCCGAAGCTCGACCTCGGGCCAGGGCGGGCCCGGCTCGGCCCGTTAGCAATGTGAATATTCACATTGACATGTTAACATTCACATTGATAGGAGTGTAAAATTGGCCCGCAGCCCGTGGGCGGCCCGAAGCCCGATCACAGTCCGAGGCGGGCTTGGCCCGACCCATGACAATGTAAATATTCACATTGACATGTTAACATTAACATTGATAGGAGCGTAAAACTTGTCCGCTGCCCGAAGCTCGCCCGCAGCCCGGGGTAGGCCTGGACCCAAACCCGGGCCACCCCGGGCAGCCCACGGGCTTTGGGCCACCCATAGGACGCGAGTCAATTTTACACACTTATCAATGTGAATGTTAACATGTCAATGTGAATATTCACATTGACAACAGGCCGGGCTGGGCCCGCTTCGGGCCGCCCACGGTGTTTCGGGCAGCCACGGGGCACGAGCTAATGTTACACTCTTACGAATGTGAATGTTAACATGTCAATTTGAATATTCACGTTGTCAACGGGCCGGGGCCGCGTCGGCCCGGGACCGGGCTTCGAGCTGCCCACGGGTCACGGGCTAATTTTACACTCTTCTCAATGTTAATGTTAATATGTCAATGTGAATATTCACATTGCCAACGAGCCGGGCTGGGCCCGCCCTGTGCAGCGGGCGGGCTTCGGGCCGCCTACGAGCCACGGGCCAATTTTACACTCCTATCAATATGAATGTTAATATGTCAATGTGAATATTCACATTGTCAACGGGCCGGACCGGGCTCACCCCAGGCCGCCCATGGGACGCGAGTCAATTTTACACTCTTATCAATGTGAATGTTAATATTCACATTGTCAACAGGTCGGGTCGGGCCCGCCCCGGGTCGCCTACAGGCCGTGGGTTAGTTTCGGGCAGCCACGGGGCACGGGCTATTTTTATACTCTTATCAATGTGAATGTTAATATGTCAATGTGAATATTTGCATTATCACCGGGTCAGGCCGGGCCTGCCCAGGGCAGCCCAAGAGCCGCAAGCGGGTTTCGGGCAGGCCACAGGCCGCAGGCTAATTTTACACTCCTATCAATGTGAATGTTAACATGTCAATGTGAATATTCACATTGTCAACGGGCCGGGCCGGGCCCGCCCCGACCCGGGCCTGGGCTTCGGGCTGCCCACGGGTCATGGGCCAATTTTACACTCTTGTCAATGTTAATGTTAATGTTAATATGTCAATGTGAATATTCATATTGTGAACGGGCCGGCCCGGGCGACAGGCTGGTTTCGGGCCGCCCACAGGCCACAGGCCAATTTTACACTCCTATCAATGTGAATATTAACTTGTCAATGTGAATATTCATATTATCAACGGGCCGGGTCGGGCCTATTTTTTTGGCTTGTGGGCCGGCCTGGCCCGACTCGAATTTTTCCGGGCACCCATGAGGATCGACATGAGTCGGGCCCCTACACATTGACGATATAAACATTTATATTGACGGTGTGAACATTCACATTAAGGCCAAGTTTGGGAAGACTAAATAAGTGTACTTTTTGTCTTTTTGGACTAAAAAATTGAGGTTGAAAATATGGATGTTTGGGTTAACTTTTTGACTTTTTATTGCTTTTTGACTTTTTATTGGAAAATGTGTAATAAAAAATTGTAAAAATTGATTTGTAGGGAAAAATTTGAATTGGGAGTTGTGCAGCCGTAATTGTTGACTTTTGGTGAATAGTGTTAACTTTTTAACTTTTTGAGTAACTTTTGGGCTTTTTGGCTTTTTTGGAACATCCCAAACTTGGCCTAAGGGTATTTTGGTAATTATGTCACCCATAGGACTTATTGAAATATAAGAAAATAATGTGAACTAAATGGAACATAAGTAGATGAAAGGTTATTTTGGTCTTCTTATCTCAAATTGGACCTAATGGAATAGTCAAAAAGAATATGGGTTTGATGGAATAAAGCTCTTAGAAAATGGATTTATCAAAAAAGCTCCCTTTAAGAAATTTTATGATTTTAATCAATAAATAATAATTCTATTAAAAAATAATTATTATTATGTTCTTAATAATTTATTAT